CAGTCAGAACAGTTCACCTTGGCACTACTCTTATGTAAATGATGGGACCAAGCGGAGTATGTGCTTACTGCCTTGCCTTGGTAACAACACATAGCAAGGGGTGAGGCAGTTCCCCCAGAAGGGCCTTCACAGGAGTCATAGGTTTACCAGAGGTAATTCTACCTTTGGATCCCAAGAAGAGAAAGGAGGGCAGTCAGTCAGTGCAGATCACTGAAGATGCCCCTTACAGGCAGGTTTCTGCCTTGCCATCAGCCTCAAAATGGGTCTTCATAAAAGCTCCATTCCCAAGCAGTGAGGATACAGGTAATCTATAGGCTACATAAGGAAGAAAACAACAACGAAAAAAACCCAAAAGACATCGAGTTACCATGGGACAATTGCTGCCACTGCCCCAGCAAGTAGAAGCAAGGAACAACAGATACTTCCACTGATCCTTCCCTAAGGATAACTGAGCATGGTCAACTGGCAGATGCCTCCCCCCTGCTGGACAAACATGACAAGGAGGGAACCTGTGATAACACTAGTAGACTTTCTAAAAGAAGCAATAGATTGCAGCAAAATGAAAATCTAGTCATGGTGGAAAGGTCTTTGACAAACCTCAGGAAAGGCAGCAGGTGGTTGGTACAAACTAGAAACACTGAGTTAGCTCATATAGAGCATGACACCCACATGCAGAGGGCAGAAGCAGCTTAATTTTTCAACGTCTTTTACATTTAAACTGGCAGATTCTGTTTTAATACAAAGTATTATTATTCTACTTTAATATCTTGTGTTCTAATAGCATCCATATTTCATGTCTGGAAGGCTGCTTTAGCAGCCATTTAGAAGAAAATGTGGGACAGTTTCATCTCAAGGTTCTGGTCAACTCAACCCCATAATTTAAAGATGGATGCACATACCTTAGCCTTACTATCAAAATTTTCCCCAAATAGCCCATCAACATTCTCTCAGCTTTCTCATTTTACTGCTGATGTGCTACACACACACAATTCCATGCCAAAAAGATCATGTCGCACACCCTTACTTACATGCCAGCATTTATATCCATACTCATTCCCAAGTCCGACATACAAAATCATTAAATAGCAGAGGAGCCTGCCACACACAAGTGTTGAGGAGCAAATGACCACATTTACCTACTGAGATTTAATAAACACAATCTGCTCAGTTCTGAGCAAGATTAAGAGGTGTTTTGTTTTCCTTGTTTTCCTCATTTATATTAATGGTGACAAGTACCCTGAACCAGCATAGACACCCTGTGAACCCAGACACCAAATGTACTCCCCATTTGACACCGTGGAGAGAAATGTCTTGATGGATTTGGAAACCTGCTTCCACTTTTATATCTGAGAAAAATTATGTATCTCCAGTTACCTGCCAATATCATCAATGTATTTTTGGATGGAAAATGCAGGTTTACTCATTTAAAAGATGGAATGTGTCTGGTTTAGGCTTTATCATTCTTAGGTAGTTATGTTTGTTCAGAGAGTGAGTGACAGTTTGGATTTAGATACACTGCTGTGAAGGAAATAGATTACTATATTTTGCACATCCACATCTATTTTAAGTCTAAGCTGCAACCAACCTTCCTTGCCACAAGACAGTGACTTTAAACCATTCTACTCATCCCTTTGTTTGCACAGGAAGTCAGAAGTTGAGAACTGTAAAATCACACCATCCAGGAGTATAAAACATCTGAGCAAGGGTGGAAAAAATGCAAGAGCATATGCACACAAGATACGCTGTAAATCCCAGACTGTGCTTTTTGGTCTGCTATACCCCAGAACCCACAGAACTCTTTTAGGTGACATCAGGCTTCAGAGAAGTGGGCCCCTGCAAACCTCCTGAAGTTCAACAAGGCCAAGTGCAATGTTCTGCATGTGGTTTAGGGCAATCCCAAGCACAAAGGCTGGACAGGGACTACACTGAGAGCAGTCCCAAGGACTTCTTGGTTGGCAATAAGCTCAACATGACCTGGCAGCGTGCACTTGCAGCCCAGAATACCAACCGTGTGCTGGGCTACATGAAAAGGATAGTAGCCAGCAGGTTGAAGGAAGTGATTCTCTGTACTCCACTATGCTGAGATCCCCCCGCAGTACTGCAGTCAGTTCTGGAGCTCCAACACAAGAGGGACATGGACCTGTTAGAATGAGTCCAGAGGAGGCCATGAAGATGATTAGAGGGCTGTGAAGACAGGCTGAGAGATTTGGGGTTATTCAGCCTGTGGAGACCTCAGAGCAGCTTTCCAGTACCTAAGGGGGCCTACAAGAAACCTGGAGAGGGACTTTTTACAAAGGTATGTAGCAACAGGACAAGAGGGAAATGGCTTAAAACTGAAAGAGGGTAGGATTTACACTAGACATAAGGAACAGGTTGCCCAGAGATGGCTGCCCCATCCCTGTAAGTGTTCAATGCCAGTTGTATGGGGCTTTGAGCAACCTCGTCAAGTGGCAGGTGTCCCTGCACATGGGGGTCGGAGCTAGATCATCTTTAAGGTCCTTCCAACCCAAATCTTTCTGATTCTATGTTCAGTGGCTGTGGGAAGATCTTTAGATTGTTTTGCTGCCAACAGCTCAGCTGACTCCCAGGCTTTAAGCACATAAGTAATGTGAAAGAGCAAATTCAGTTCAGCCAAGAGAGGAGAACTAGCTGTTACTCCAGAAAGGCTTGTGCTGAGAGAACAGACCAGGTAAATCCAAGGTGCCTTAGATTGAAATGTCAGGAAAACAACCACAATCAGAACAAATACTGCTGTTACCAGATGATAATAAATTTAGTGCAGTGGATCACTGAGAACCTCAATCTTGCCTATAACTGAGGTAAAAACACTGTAAAAAATGAAGTATAACTGAATAAGCAAGGTACAAGAGCACATCCCCCTCAGCCATCCAGATTTCACAACAACCATGCCAGCATCGCTCCTGGCAACACAGTGAAACAGTTCAGAGTTTAATCTGTTCTGAAGAAAAATGTATTTGGTCTATGTGCTATCAAAATCTCAGGCTATTTTAATTTCCCACTAAATTCTCTGAAGTCAATGATACAATTTCCTCATTTGAAACATGGTTTAAAGCATACAGGATTTTTATTACGATTACCAATATCTTGCCAATCCCCAAAGGGATCAATGAATCCAAACAACCTAACTTTTCAAATTAAGTTCCAGTCTGTGTCTATGAAATTACTACTTTAAGACTATAACTGAGGAATAGTGGGGAGCAAACTACCTCCAAAAGGGAACTACAGTGTATTTCACATCATTCACTTCCCCTCTGCTCCCCTTTCCAAGATAGGTGGAAAACCTTATGCCTAGCCAGTAGCCTCTCTGCAAAGCCTCCTTATTAGTACAAACACTAGGGATTTTCCACCAATGTAATTATTGAGGTCCCTTTCCCCTCTACTGATCACCCTCCAACCAACCTAGTGGTCTACCCTTGTGGTTTATCAATCATTTTATATTTCACTGTTCAGCAAATTGGAATGATGTGAAATATCCACCCACCTTTCTTTCATCCATCAGAGAAAACAAGATATAAAATGATCTTATTTTAGATCTCATCAAGTACTTCAAGCACCTAACCAGTCACACAAAGCCCTCCCACAGTAGCCTAAAGTTCATTCCAACAGAAGCCAATCAAACACCAACTGGTGATAATGACCACCAACTATGTTACGGTTTTCTTTATTCTCCTATTAAACTGAGAAGACCAAACAGTACAAGGACTTCAAGCCCTGGCATCTAACATTCCAGACAGAACAGACAAGTAGAACACAAAAATAGACAACATTTTAACACACACGCACAAACAAAAAAAAAAAACACATAAAAACCAAACAAAAAAAAAACCCAACCACCAAACAAAACCAAGAAGACCAGACACCCTCAGCTGAGAGATGATTAACTAAAGAAAAGGTGGTTTTGAGACAGAAGCCAGCACTTCATTAGACTTCAGCAAGTCTGATACCTCCAGTGACTTTCACTTGTTTATGCAATGTTTCACAGCAACCAAAGCTACCCCCTCAAAGCCTCAGCAGAAAATATGTTATCACTTTTTAAAAATTAGACAGGCTTCTATGCAGAATGGTTAGATCATCCTCAAAGTTTTCCATAAGGTATCTCACATTCATTCTGAATAAAAATCTCTTTAACAAGACTGAACCTTAACCATGAAGGCCCACTAAAGAATTTACATGTCATTGGCTAGTCCAAGCAAAACAAACGAGGGCAACGTACTTCATCAATGACGCAAGACTGCACCTTAATTAGAAACTCATATCCAGACACATTAATGCATAACCCCACACCAAAGTGCCTATGTGGATCTTGACTATATTCAAAGTTTTATTCTAGCTTTTCAGAATTTCTTGAAAAATACATCTTGTGCAAATAACAAGCAGTAATCAGCAATCCTTCTCCCTTACATTTTTGTTTCCTCCCATTCAAGATGGTTGCAGGGAAAGATTTAAAAAAAAAAACAAAACTAAACTAAACAAGCCCATCATAATTAATCACTTATTTTTGCTACTGGAAAAAGAGAAAACAAAGCTATTCCACAAGTCAGAATGGAGACTTATGCTTCAAAAGAGCTACCCAGTAGACTGAACCTTACAGGAAGATATTGGGGAGGAAAAAAAAAAAAGGTGGCAATTGCAAGTTATTAAGCCACATCTTTAAGAAATTTGCTATGCAAAGCTTCAAGTAGAACAAAAGAATTTTGTAGCTTTGCTTTTCTGGATGCAGAATTGGAGATACTTAAGCAAAATCTTACCTTTGGGAGACAAGTAACTTCACCTTCATGTATTTCAAGATGCAGACTGCACACATACCCAGAACAGACAGCAGAAACCACAAAGATTTACTGAGAAATGAACAACTATTCTATCACTACACCTGCATTTTAATTTCCTAATCTTAATCCACAGGCATTGAGGAACTTTAGTTAACATGCACTTATATAAACAGCTTGATATCTTCCTTTACAAAATAAACAACGAACACAGCAGTTCTTGTCTTCTATTTCAGCTATAAAAAGAAGTAACATTAGTTGGCCACCAATGCAAATTCAGTGCAAAACTAGGTAATCCTATTTTCTTATTAAAAGCCCAGCATATCCCATCTCCTTCAATATTAATATTAACTTTCATTTTAAAAGGGTAATATAAAAAAGCTTGGTTAAGGAAGAGCTTTGTTTACAAGGAACAAGCCAGCATCAACAATGTTTTCTAAAAATACAGCAGTGTCAACCATCAATGTGGAGAAAGTGTTCACTCCACAAGTGCCAAAGTTTTAATAACAAAACCCCACACATTTATTACAAGAGAATATTACAATCAACGAGTTTCAGTGATCAAAGAGTAAAACTTTACAAAAATTCAAACACTGTAATTTCCAGTTGTGGAGTGCTAGATATTCCAGGTTTACAAACACGACATCTTTTTGTTTATGCATACTTCAAAGTGATTTCCAGTCTGCTTTATTTTCCATCAAATACAGTACATTTATCCAAACAAAAGAATGTACATTCAATATAAAACATCTTGAGCAACAGTTACAGTCCGGTTCCCATTCACAGTATTTTTAGTGCAATGCACTAACAGGGCCAAATATTTCTCTATCCATATAAGTATTTTTATTCCTGATCTTGTGATCAACATTTTTAGATATATTTTATACAAAAAGTATATATGAACACAAGGCACCTCCCTAAGTAAGGGAGTGAACCCACATAAAAAACATGGTATTTCTTCTGATGCACAATACCTTTCAAATTGTAGCAATTTGACACAAATCACTAAACATTTTCTAAAAAGTAAAAAACAAAACAAAAAAACCCCAAACCACTGATGCATGAAACCTGCCAAGAATTTCATAATGGCAGGCATGCGGCTGCTTTACTACAATCTTGATTAAAAGGTTAAAAAAAGGTATCTAAAACATTTTCCAAATTATACAAAGTCAAGTGCTACCCATTAGTGGTCATTCATGATCTCCAAACAAAAAAATGTTCTGAGTTTCTCCCATACTATCCTCCCTTTTTATTAATATTTAATGAAATAAGCTAACATTATGAGTGGTTGTGCACAGATTGTCTATAATACATCAGCAAATATTCACTACCTTCATATTAACATTAGTGTGTTGATCTTTCAAAAAATAAACTGAAAAAATAAACTGCAACTATCATTAAAGTGCTTGTGTATCTTTTCTTAAAAAAAGTAAAGAATAGAGGAATGTGGATATGCTTGTAAAATTCCCAGATGTTTACAACGTTTTCCTATGAACCACATATGGAAACAAAATGGAGATCTTTGCAGCAACTTCAGTACAGCGAAATTCACAATGTCCCAGAACAGGGAAATCAGTCAAACTGAACAAATGGATGTTATGGCAAATACTAAAAATTAGTACAATTCAGCCAATATACACTACGTTGTTTGCTCTTATACATTCATTTGTAATAAATTTAAAACAGTATATAACACAATATTTGCCAAAGTCAGATATCACAAAAAAGCTAAAGCTGTTCAATCAGCACTACTAGGGAGGACCACTATGCACGATGAGCTCTCTGAAGGTTATTTCCTAAATGAGGAACAAAATTCTTCTTCCAAAGCTGCTGTTCATTAACTTGCCTCTGTACTTTCTTCATTTCAGAAAGTTTGCTCTATACTGTCAAACCTCAACTGCATTGAGATAACTGCTAATTTAGAAGCACATGTGCATTTCAACTACTTCAGTGCTCGGGAAGAGGCACTGTCCAAGGAACAGTCAGAATGGTTATTAATACAGTAAGAAAACAACAGCTTATGAAAATATTTCCTCCTTATAGTAACATTATCAGCGTATTAGCAGTTCCAACAACAAACTTAAGAGTTTTTCATTCAAATGGACTTCAAACTTTCTGAACATCACCTGAACCTATTTGAGGAGAAATGCAAATAAACTAATGTTTTGAGTTTACAGATAGAATTTTCTGTCTTAAATTACATGACATAAATAATGTATAAGGCTAAACTTTTAATTCATGATCAAAATGCAGAAGCCACTCCTCCTCTCAAATACAGCGTAATTCAGGGTCCAGCTGAGTGTATTTCTGAAGTTCTGTTCCACTTAGCCAGGATTTGTTACAAAGTCACAAAAGCACCAGATTACAATTTAACATAGCTGGCTGGCAAGTCACTATAAAAGCTGAACACCTCCTGGGAAGTAGTTATTTCAGAGTTGAAATACAGGACAAGGCACATATACTTGGCTTTCTTTTCACCAAATATGCTAGAAAGGTAGTTCTGAATAAGGATGTTAAAAAACTTTTACAGGTATTTCTACTGTCTCTCTTCACTATAATTTTTTGTACAATTCGCCAACTTTCACGCATCAGCCACCGTGAAATACAAACTGACCACATACATAACTTATTTCCTTTTTTTTCAAAGAGGTCCTTTTAAGAATACGCCATCTTTAACATGAAGGCTATGGAAAACTGAGAAGCTACAAACACAACCCTTCCAAGTGCCAAAAAGTTCCCAGAGTACCATATAAGAAGTTCAGAAAATTCTTGGACAGACTTCTACACGTATTTAGGCTTAAAAAAAAAATCTTGATAAGACTTGAACACTTCAAAAAATAAAATGATCAGAAGTTTCCAAACCTGTGCTTATATGAATAAGCATTAAAAGAATCAAATTCTAAATTTGATGATTTAAAATGCATTCGTAGGCACCTAACTCATACTGATTTTGCACCAAAGCAATTAAGCATCTGAATTACATTCCAAAAACCTGTTCCCTTTTTGTTGACAGCACATAGCCAATATACATTAAAATTGAAAAAAAAAAAAAAAATGAAGCACAAATGACAATTCCAACAAGTACAGAGAGATTTTTTTCTGTCAACAGCTTTTACTGTTGCACCTCCTCTAGTACTTCTTCAACTGTGTCACTGAGAAGTTAACTAACAGGTGAAGTTATTCAAACCAAACAAAAGTAATGTTAATTTTAAAAATTTACTATTTTCAACATATATTAGCTTGATTACAACAGATGCCTTAAGACAATTTAAAGAATTGACTCAATACAATCTAATCTATCTTCTATTCCAACTTCCTACAATGACAAATTTAGAAATTAACTCTTTTCCAAAACACTAAAAACATGTAAGAAATAAATTTGACATCTACCTTAGTATTTAAGCCACTAAACCATAAAATGATTTCGGCAATAAATCAACAACAGCAAAAGAAAGGCAGTGGTTTTGTTTTGTTTTGTTTTCTTTTAAAGAAAAATAATAAACAAAACACTTTTTTTCCTCACCAGACAACAGCTTTAGATCTTGTACTTCTGCCTTTGGTTTTATTTTCTTCAGTTGAGTGAGATACATTTGCTTTGTGAGTTTTCTTATGATGTTCTAGAAAAGCTTTTCTGGCAAATGCTTTCCCACATTTATTGCATCGGTGCAGAGAAAAGTTTTTTGTTACTTTTACTTCAATGCCAACATCAGCTCCTTCGTACTTTTTACCGGGAGAGTTAGAGGTGACATCCTGTTTTGAACAAATCTGTTTTGTTTCATCCCTCTGAGGGCCTCTTTTTGTCACCTTATTTAGAACAAGATCAATTGGCTTTTTTATTGCTCTAATTTCTAAACTTGCAGTTATTTTCCCAAGGTAGCGTGGTGACTTTTTATGAACTACAGTTATGTGCCTTATCACATCACGCTTGCGACGTGTTTCGTACGAGCAGAGTGGACACCTGTAGTATTTAACATAAATATTATTTCCATCTGTGTGTAATTCAATGTGTTTTGTCAAGTTCTGTTTAGAAGTAAATTGGCGTTTACAGAGCTTACAGTAAAGCTGCTTGAAGTCAAAGCCAGCTGAAAGTTTTGGCTTCCTGGTTTTTTGCTGGCCACCTGCAGCAGATGCATTGGTTGATTTAGAGGTTGATTTAGCAGTTGATTTACAGGTTGATTTAGTGGTTGATTTAGAAGTTGATTTAGGGTTTTCAGGGTCCTGTTTAACTTTATTTTTCTGTGCTGACGGTGTGCTTTTTTTCTCATTTGAATTATTTGTTCCCTTTAATTCATTCTGAGGAGAAAGGGCAATGGAAGGGAGTGAAGGTTCTACAGAATCTGCTGGTTCAACTTTTACTTTTATTTCTGTGCCGTTGGCAGTATTGTTGGGTCCTTTCTCTCTTTTAGAGTTCTTTCCAGAAAGAATTATCTTGTGAACAATTTGCATGTGCCTTTTCAGCATTATTTGTGAACTATATTTTCGCTTGCACAGAAGGCATTTGCATGCAGTTAAGTTGTATTCAGCCTTTGAAGACGACTTTTGTTTTCGGGTCTTAAAAGATTTTTTAGCAGAAACTGTATCCAAGAACAAAGGTTGCCCAGGCTTTGTAGCAATATCAGGAGTAATGGAATCCCTTCTTAATCCTCTATGAACTTCATCAAAATGCCTCCTTACGTTGGCTTTTGTAGCAAAAGATTTATAACACACAGGACAACTTCTACCTAATGTTACAAGGACATTCTTGTTTCGTCCTTTCACAGAGGACTGATTTGGTTTCTTTTTTGTTTCTATGTACTTCTTTAGCTCTTCCATCTTTTTTTTGTGCACTTTTCGAATGTGCCGGCGTACACTCCGTCTGGAATGAAATTCTTTCCTACAAAGGCAACATATCAACTGGTGGCCAAAATCAGAATTATCCAGAGAGTCCACCTCAGGATTTACTGCTGGAGGCTGTTCTTCAGGAGTAGGTATCCCTTTGTTTGTAACAGGATCAGCTGGAGGTAATTCTACAGTCTCCCCAGCTGGGGCTGGGTTTGGGGCTGGAGCTGAAACAGTCTTGGGTTGCTCAGTGCTGGGTTCCTGTATCTGTACTGGAGCTTGATCAGGGGTACTACTGCTTTCTACATTCTCATCTGGGCCATCAGTCCTCGATACATATTGAAATACAGCATTTTGATTACTTTCTATAGGTTCCAATTTAATTATATATTCTTGCTTATCTACCCTTGGATAGATTGCTTCCAGGAGGTCACTTATGGCTTGACTCTGTTTGTCATTTATATCTGGGAGGTCTGTGAAAAGAGGCAAAAGTATTTTTTAATGATTTGGTAATTTGAAGTTATTTCAAAATATCTTCTAACCACTCCATCAATTCAGTCATCAAATTTGTACAAAAATCCTGTACTTGTACTATTTTTCTGACCATTTACACTTAAAGACTTCAAGTAATCATTGCTATGGCATCAGTACAAGTTACTTTTTTATTAAAAGGCAATACCAGAAGTACACTCTTCTAGCATGCTGATGTGAAAGCCACCTAAACTAAAAATTAGCTTGCCTGGAATTAAACAAATCTTTAAAAATCTGTATCAACTGCAAAAATGTCAATGACTCAAAAATGACTGAGCTTATTCTACATGTGAATAACTAAGTCTGAAGTATTATTAGAAACCAATTTTCCACTGCTGGAAATAGGCATCCTCAATAAAGGAACCTAATTCTGGAAATAAGGTCTTCTCTGTAAATTCTGAACAGTCCTTAAGAAACAATGATATGTCCGTGTAACCTAAGCACTGCACAAAGATAACAGCAGATAAGAAGTTAACTTCTGGGGCAGGGAAAGCTTTTAGTAATACCAAAGCAGTTAATAGGCTCAGTGATACAGTAAGATAGCAAATGTTAAGGACAGAAAAAAAAATGTATTTTTGGGGGGGGGGGGGGGGGGGGGGGGGAATGTTACTTATTTCTCAAAACAATAAAAACTGAGCCAAAGAAGCTATTTTAAGAAAGAGTAACTTCACTGAGATTCACCAAAGATTCATCCTGTGTTCTGCCCTGATAAAGAGTTGGAACACACTTAAAAATCAAGGATTCTCCTTGTTTGTCTGATGCCAGTAAACTTCTCAAGCTGAAGTTTGCTTTTGAAGTACTAATTTAATAAATGTTTTAAAAAAAATAGTTTGTTTTTGAAGCATTTATATTCTTGGCTTCTACAATATTAAGTAGTGGGGTTTATCTTGTTTTACCAGAAATACTGGTAATTATACTGCCTAGTGGCTTTGCTGGATACAAGCTTTTGTATTTATGAAAACTAAGAAAAACAAACGATTACTCCCATTTTTACCTTCATGTCATTCATTATTTCAGAGGCCTCAATAATATCCTGTTTTTAAATGCCAAATTAGTTAGTGATCTAGTTCCCAGCATGATACACTAAGCATCTGAACTGGCATAACTCAGAAGTCAAGGTGCTACAGCAAAATCGTGAGGCACCAAGATGATACAGTCTAGTTTTCCATGATGATTTTGAAGACATGATTCCTGGTAACAACTAAGTAAAACCCCACACTTAGTCAGGGCTGCTCCTTCCACACTGTCAGCAACACATAAAAAGTGTCTGTACAAGAAATACACTGGTTTTGTTACTCAGAACCCATCTTTTAACGCTGAATTTTTAACACCTTTTGCAGTCAGTTTTAGATGCGACTATTTATATAATTTTTAACAAGGGTAAAAAGTCCTTGCTTTAAGTCCTTCCAAACCACTTAATGACTACACTAACAGAATTCATCTCAAAAAGATCATCAGGATTTTCACCATGAGGATGGTGACCTTTCATTCCCAGCTCTTGTTCCCTTTTATTTATTGAAAAAAAAAACCAAAACAAAAAAACCCTTTCACTTTATTCAGTCATCATCATACACAATTTCACATAAAACAAGTATTTATAGCCAGGATTTTCACCATGAAGATGCTGAACTTTTATTCCCAGCTCTTGTTTCCTAACTTTTAGTTACTGAAAAAAAAAAAACACAAAAAACAAACATCCCTTCCACTTTATTCAATAATCATCATACTCAATTTCATATAAAACAAGTATTTATATAGTTTTATTCAGAGCATGTAGTATTATTCTCTTCATTTGCATCCCTCCTAGTAAGCAGTGAAATATGAAAGCTAGCCAGAAAATTAAATGAAGGCTAGGATTCAGGAGCTGGATGGGAAGTCTTTACTGAGGGCACTCTTGTTTTGCTTAGGAACTTTTGCATCTAAGGCAGATGCACTTCTAACCTTGCTCTGAAAATACAACTCATCCCTTTTCACAGGGAAGCTCTGTGACTCTCTGCAACTGGCCAAGCACACTCATTTAAGGAAGGCGACAGTACTAGTCTTCTCACCTTCTTCACAATATTAGCTGACACAATATGGGAAAAGAATTGCCTATGTACATCTTAGTTTGATCCTAATTCTGTAAATATTGAGGCAGGAATGCATTAATTAGAAAAGAAAAATCCTCACTGCATCTATGTTGATCTAGTCAAGAGATCAAGATAATTAGAAAGCTTTACAGAACATTTTTGAATGCTGGCACATTTCCAATTATTCAGCTTCACTCAGATCAACAAAAAGTCATCACTGGAATGAGACTTTAATGAACTTTTTCCGTAAAAATATACTACTTCATCCTTTCCTTATTATCTTTCTTTTAATAATAAAGTTGATTTCTACAACAAAGGTGATGGGCTTGGCCTGATAAGAGGATATCTTATTGCAGACCAAGGTGAAGTGAAGGGGTGGGAAATAGACAGTATTATTGAAACGCAGGTCCTCAAACAAAATGGTGAGCTTTTAGTTCGTGTTTCTTAATGAGTAAGACTGAAGGACTGTGCCCATGACACAGAGCACTTCCCAAGTACAGGAGAACATGATGGATATTGATCCCAGCCACTTTACAGCATCCAGCTAAAGTCCACCAGAGCTACGCTGTTCTAAAACTGAAAAGCTTTCTTAGATCTATACCTTTCTACAAGATTAATTTCCCAGTCCTTTGGCATGCTTTTTGGTATCTTTCACAGTAAAGAGGGAAAAATAGGAAAGAAAAAGGGGAAGAAGGAATACAAAGTGTTAAAAGGGACACTCTCCATGAAGAGGTCGGACATATAACTAGCTATCAAATTATGACATTAACAAGGGTCTCAGTTGTTAATGCATAGTAAATTCATGCTATGGCTTCTTTACCACCATAAAAGTTACCTACATATGTTACTACTGAAATTTAATTCCACTTTTTTTTTTGCATTATGTTTCTGGCATGTTTGTATAAATGGTACAGAAAGATAACTTTCTCAACTTCAGAGAGCTTTATTAAACATTTCAATTAGTAAGACTTACTGTCATCCATGTGGAGACTTGGAGGGCAATAAAACTTTTTATGAGTAATTAAATTTGGTAATCCTCTGAAGAGACTCCGGCACAATTTACACTCAAAAATAGTGTCCACATCTTTTAACAAGATATGTTTAAGTTGTTTAGTTCCTGTAATAAAAGAAACATTACACTTAAGGAAGGTTTTCTGTTCATCTTATAATTCACATCATCCCATGAAAATGGTAACACTTTAAATGCTGTTACAATTGTCATGTTTTAATCTTGTGTTAATACTACTTTACTACATTCTGAAGTTTATGACACTTATTCAGAGTTTCACCATGAAAACAAGACTAGTTTGGAAAAAGAAAGTCAAGGATTATGCAATTACAGTTTACAGGGAAAGCATGATGATTTATGACAAAAACTAACAGGTAATGTTAGGAAGGAGTCCATGCTACAGTATCTGGATGCTGCAACATAATTGCCCAACGGGAAAGAACAAGCACCTAGAGCACTTAAAAGAAGCCTGCAGTATTCCTTCTTTAAACTTATTCAAAAGTGCTGAGAAAACAAGATACATACAGCTACTTCGTGTAAAAACAGTACCCTGTAAGGCAAAAAAATAGAGCCTACAATAAACCAAAAAGAATAACAAACAGGTCAAGAAATGTTACTGTATCTAAGAATCTGACCCAAGATCAAGATGATGATCCTTAGGCAAGAAAGTAGAACTGTAGACATCTTTTCAGCCTACTGAAAAGAAAATACATATAATTTAAGTAGGCAACTTTTCTATTACAACATAGGCAGTGTGACAAAATATGCTATGCAGGTTTTCCAGACTATTATACACTGTATATTCAGAAATTCCCCATGGATACAGCTTGATCTAGTATTGTTGATGTATCCAGTTCCTCCCATGCTTAAAGAACTAAAAAGATTCAGAGTTTAAGTTACGCTTCAAGTTCACTCCTTTATTTCTCATCTCACAAAAATTAGGCCTACAATTAGCAATGGATTAATAAATTGTTAATACTTACCCACTCCAAATTAGAAAGAAACACTAGCTAACCAAATCCAGCTTATTATCTTGCTTTTTTCTTCTTAAAATGGAATTAGCCAAAATTAATCAAAATATGTTAAATAAGCAAAAACATAAACTAGACCAGAAAATAGTGTCAGACAACTATGAAACAGTATCAAGACATTCTTCAAGCTAAAACTGAAGTTCAAGTTTATTGTCATCAGACACTTCTGTTAAAGACTTCCTTTTAAAGATCAAATTCAGACTGCAGATTTCTTCAATGAGCCCCTTTCAAACATTAATAACTTCATAACAATAAGAGTTTTTCAATACAAATGGGCCTTACCAAGGCAACTTTTTCCTTCTTGATGTAGTAGTACTACATTGTTCACAACTGAGTTTTACCAAAGCATGATGCCTTCTCAGTCTTCAACAATTGCTTAAAAATGGGACCCAAACTTGACTGAGGCTACTGTCCAGTTTCTGTCCCCCCCTATGCCCTTCCTGGACCTCAGCCCTAACCTCATCTTTTCTTCTCACTGCTCTTTCTCCAAGTGTTACCACCTCACTTTCATCTGACCTGTATTTTTAGACTACTGGACAAATACTTAGATTTAGTGAAAATCCCGAATTTAAAACTTGGACAGATATCCCCCAAAGGCAAGTTGTTTACTCAGATCTCACCAACCGTGTTTGAATTTCTGCAGATATAGAAAACCACTGAAAAAAAGCCATCTGAACAAAACTGATGATGCTCCATGTAGACTGAATTCCAGTAAGGTACCAAACTATAATTCAAACAAAAGGCCTCAAATTTGGTGACAGCACAAAATAATCCAAAATTTGGCCAAAATTTGCTATTGATGATGCCCTTGCCACAAACCGTTCTCCCAAACAAAACAAAAAGATCATCTAAATCATCACTGTTTCCCAGTCAAGGGACACACAAGTTTCTTGTTCTCTGTCTTGTTATGTGACTGATATTTCAGTCTTTTTCCGTTCAGGACTAAAATGTTTTAGAATATCCAAATTATTGGTCTTAAGAATTGGTTTTAAGAATCTGAGTGAGATTGAAGGATTTCTGACATACCATAGGTCAGGCTAGATGACATGGTAGTCACTCCAGCTTCAAACCACCCTTATGCAACTATGAAGCTTTTCACTGCTGGGAGTTAAAAAATAATTGATCCTTTTGAATTAAACTGTAGACCTTTAGGGACTTCTAGAAATAGCAAATTCTTATTCTTGACCCAGCTGCAGACTGTAGCAACAAGCAGTCAGCCTCCTAACAGCATATGCTGCCTCCAGCTTACTGAAGCCTTCTCTATTTGGTAGTTAGATCTAACTGCAGAAGGTAATACTTTGTCAAATTATGCTAATAATTGTAAATGTTGACACCAGGATAACAACATAGTCACAAGAAATCAGTACAGAACACTGGTTGCTACCAATACTTCTCTGGTAGAAATACCAAAGTTCATGCCTTTATCAAGCAATATCATTTTTAGGGGGAAAAAAAAAAAAAAAAAATCATCTGTTATTCTTGATGCTGCAGATGACAGAAGATTCTGCTAAAACCACCTAAATAGTTATGGACAATAATCTGGCTTTCATTTCTATTCCTTTACCACAAGAATCAAAATAGTTTCCTTCCAGAATGAAATGTTTGTTCAAAACTAAGAAATAAAATCCTGCTCCAAGTCCTTTTGCCTTCTGTTCAACTTCCCTGATGCAGGTGAGTGAAAACGTCAATGTAAACTATCAATTTAACACCTGCCAGTGAGGACAACCTAGAAGTAGCCCAGAGACAGAGTACTTTCACCTACTTTGTGCTATTACCAGTAGAGATTCTATTAATCTGCTTTGAGCAAAAGGAGCCTGGCATGGTTAACTGAGGCCTGAGGCAATCAAACCAAACTAAAAAAGGTTATTAGTGGCAACTCTCACATCCAGTGAAACTTTTCATATATATAAAATAACTCTATGTGGAAAAATCATAGAAACATATGTTTCAGTAATCTCTGGGATGCTCACCCAAATGCTCACTTGCTATTCTCAGGTTCACTGCTATGTACTGTAACTCCCAAAACCAATAAGGAACACCTTAAAAGTAACATGACAAAGCAATTCTGAAAAGTTCAAGGTAAATACTAAATTTTCTCTTCACCTCAGGGGTTTAGGATGAACTCATTAATAACAGCAGGAGTGATGACACAAAGTAGAACAACAAACTGATTTTTAATGTTTTTGAGAGATACTTATACAGCACGAGCTGTATCTTCACTATGTTATAGGAAAACCCTTATAAAAAGGAACAGCACCTAACACCAAAAACCTACAAACAGCTTGCAAAAAATGTAGAAAGTCAGATGTTGGTTAATATACTAAATATACATAACTCTTATAACCAAGTAAGGAACTTTTCACAAAATAAACATAGCTTCATACCTGATCGAAAACACTCAATAATTTGCTGAATACCAGATTTTGATGTCTGCAGAGGCTGCTGCAATAACGGAGGATCACCAGGTTCCAACAGGTGCACTGAAATACATGAAAGAATAATAAGCTATTAGGGAACACTCAGGGGATTACTAAAGTGTGGATTTTCTATGCATACAATAAACTAGTTAAAAAGAAAGACCAGGACTACAGTAAAAGTTGCCTTACTCAAAACTTTTCATCTACTTTGAATTAAAAAGTAGAATTAAAAATTAAAAAAGACCCAATACTGAATTTTCCAGCCATGATGCCTTCTGACAGTTTGCTGTCATTCTGATTTAAAGAAAATGTGTATTCAAAGCCATGTGTATCAAACACAACAACCATATATAAAACCAAATCAGCTCACTAGAAACTTGTGTCAATTAAAGCAGTTCCCCAGAACAATCTACTTGACTCCCATCATTCAAATGTAAACAGATGTACAAAAAAGCATTACCAAATACTGTACTTTGCAGGTATGTGATTTCAGTGTTACCAGTACCACCTAAGCACAAAATCCAAATTTAAAGTATCAGCGATCAGGAAAAAAAAAAGAGCACAAGTGTAACTATAATGTATATACCAAAAAGAACTATTATAATATTTTTACCAATAAAACCACATTAAAGAAATGCTTCTGGTTTAAGCAAACTGTTGAAGGTACACCTTATTTATGAAGTTTCATTCCACATCACAAGCTTTGTAAAATCTACTAAAACCAAAACATTTACTGATCAGGATGACTGTTAAGTTATTTGAGTAAGCAGTATTTAGGAGTATCAGTAGCATTCCACTGCTGTATATGCATACGGCAACTAAGTTTTGCTCAGAGGGAAACCCAAATTTAAGCAAGAGCCTTACTCAAACATTAAACACACGTTTACAAAACTGTCAGTTAGGTCTTATTTTTCATTTCTTACTGACAAAATAACTTTGTACTTTGTAAATTGGCTCCTACTTTATTCATTTGGTTCTATTTTTAACCCCATTGTAAGGTTTCCATTTTTTAATGAAGCACCAAGCATCTCTAAGAGAGCTACTTTTGATAAAAAGCACTAGAGGTGTCACATAAAACTACTTAGAGATATTAAGTGCAAATAGATTAAACGCATTTTGACAGAAAAGTCATTCTAAAACATGTAAGGTTAAAAATAAATTCAAGCTGAAAAGAACATCAGAAAGAAAAGCAGTCTAAGAAAAGAATGATAGAATGAACACTCCTTCAACTATGCTGGCCCCATAACATACTATTATATATAGGAACACATAGCAACCATTACAAATCAGCTAATCGTTTGGGGATCTCCAACACAATGACATATTGTATTCTACTGGCCTAGTCCCTGCTCTTCAAAATAGTATATTTTGGGTTGTATACTGCCTCTAATATGCATGTGCAGCATCCACTGACATCGAGGAGTGACATACGTGAAGTAGACATAACACATCGCTGTTATTTGTAAGGCGAGAAAAGTATTTCAGCTTTTTTAAAGCACTAGAACAACTCACAGCCATCTCATCTTAAACACAAAGAACTGTTTCTACTTGCGAACAATACCTACTCTCAAATTACATTTAATTAAAGGAGCATTATCAAAGTTGCCATGTTCATGCTTTCAACTATTAATTCCCCAAACTGATGCCTTTCTTTTCAAAATACAAGTGAAAGCATCCAAATAACATGCTCTACAACAAGGCCACAAGAAAAGAACCACATTTCCTTTTAGGCTACCAAAAAGTAACAGTAGGCAGAACAATTACCAGAAACAGAAAATAAAATCTAGCAAGTTAGCTAAAACTTCAAAGTATTCGTTACACTTTCCACTGATGGCATCTTCCAGGTCACACAGTAGTGGAATGCAGACATTTCAGGACCTTTTTTTTAATTCTCCGAGAATAGCATCTTCAAGTTCACTCAGATACGTAAAGTAAAATCATTAACAACGAATGCAAGAGATTGCCAGAATCGTCATTTTTACAAAAAAAATAAAAAATAAAATCAGACTATTACACTTTTTGGCAACAAAAGGCCCAGTTGTTTTACACAACTTCACGCCTTCCTCTCTCACTACACACAATGCCCATGTGGTGGTTTGGGGATTACTGCACATCCTGCAGGCACTCAGAAGCTATCTTCCTAAAATAAATTTAACATGACAGTTCAAAAATACTAAAAAAACATTACCAAACAAAATTCAGAAACTTTTTATAGCCAAAATTGTCACTGATGATGCACACTTACAACACGAGTTTCCACAAGCTTTTAACAGAGCAGAGAAGCAAAACCGCCGAAGCATCACACACAACTATACCTGGTTCACAGCATCCATGGTGATGGTGGTCAGTCTGACAACACTTGTCCCTCAGAGGCATTTTCCGTGTGCACGAACTACTTTCCTTCTACATCCAGCAGCTCGTTTCTGCTAAAATAAGAACATTAACTGTCACCCCCGAGCGGCAGGCGGCCCAGGAAGGGCAGTGTTAACGCCGCACACCCACTTCCTACAACGGCACGGCCGGAGCAGGCCAGGAGGCAGCGGCACCCTTCGCGCAGCAGAAAGTTTCCATTGTTTACAGCAGTCTCACAAAGCCCTCTGCAACGGCGCCGAGTCCGGCTGCGCCGTTCCGTTCCCTCCGGCCCGGGCCCCGCCGCCACCTGTGCCCCGGCCTGGTAGGAGAGCCCCCAGTCACCGTCAGCCCAACCGCCGTCCTCCCGCCGAGCCCAGCGTAATCTCCCGGCTTCGCGCCCCCTCAGCGAGCGACTCCCGCCGCGCCTCTCTCCCGCCGCGCCGCGCTCCGTCCTCACCTCCAGCCCTCCTCCCGCAGTCCCGCCGCCGGGACAGCGTCCCTCAGCTCCCGCGGGACCGAGAAAAAAAACGGCCTCCCCAACAGCTCAGCGACCGCTGCTCGCTCCCCGCGGCCCTGCCGGAGTTGGAGCCCAGCGTGCCCGCCACCCCACCACGCGACAGCCCGAGCGGGGAGGGGCGAGCGGCCGGCAGGTGACAGCGGGCGCCGAACAGCCAGCGGCGGGAACGAAAGGGCGCGGCGCGGGAGCCCCTACCTGGAAGCGGACGGCCAGCTTCCCCCGCCCCGAGCGAAACTTCACTCCCCGCTGTCCCGCCACAGCGGCGGCCGCTGACCCCGGAGCCGGATGGGCACGGGGGCAGGAAGTGACTGTGGGCCTGCCGGCGAGGGGACGCGCAGTGCGCACGCGCCGCTCCCACCGGACCCCTGCCTGCCTTGGCCTCACAGGTGTTGGGCGGCCCCACGCGGCGGCCGTTAGGGCGGGACGGCGAGGCTGAGAGGGCTGGAGGGCCCGGCGGCCGGAAGGGGTCCGCGCTGTCCTTATCCGAGTCCCTGTGGGGAGGGAGGCTCGCCACTCATCGCTGCGCAGGACGGTGATGTGTCCGGCCCCTCTGAGGCACCGGAGCTCGGACGCCACCGTGGGAGCAACCACCGGCACCTGAGGTGGCGTTTCTGCCCCGTCTTAGACCGGTCTGCTTTATTACGCTAAAAATCCCCAACCGAACACTAGTTGTTGTAGTAAATTCACCATGCAAAAGCATAGATCAATGTTTCCAACACCTGGAGGAAAAACTTGTGGGGGAGAGCTTTGTGAAGTGTATCGCTACCCTGCAGTGAATGGCTGGGCAGCTGGTGTCTCCACATAGGCTTTCACAAGGTGTCCACTTAGTCCTACACTCCCTCAGCAGCTTGGGTTGCTGAAAAGGTAATACTTAGTTTCTGCCAAAGGAAAGGATGTAATTAAGTCTTCTGCTTACGGAAAAGCCTGTGTTGTTTAGAAAAAAAAACTAAGGAAATGTAAGGAATAAGCACAGGATTACAGAAAAAATGCTGAGCAGTGATACTAATATGGAAACAATGTGACAAGCTTTGGCTTGTAATTCTTAATGGAGATGGGCTTCATGGTTTTAAAGTGAAATCTGCTGTCTGTGTTAGAGTGAGATATCTCATGCTGTTGTTCAAATCAGACATGGAGAGAGCCTACCATCTGTGACCATCAACTTGAAGCAATAAAGCCTTCTTTTAAAAGATGGACCTTGATTTCACCAGCAAGTCATCGTTTTCCAAAACAGCAGGAGTCCAGATTTAGACTCCATAAAGTCCATCTAGGTTTTGGTTAATAAACTGGAGGCACCTTAAATGTCAGAGAGCAGTTCAAACAGCCTAATGCCAAGTAACATCTGAAGTACAGCAGAAGCCAGTTGAAACCTTCATGTTAGGCAACTAAGCTCAAGTCTTTGCGTATGTCCGCAGGTGCTCTCACCTTGATGAGCTTAACTACATCCTGAGCTCTGCTGTGTCATAGACAGACTGGATGAGGCTTAAACTCTACCTGGCCACTATGAACATTAGTAGCCTTATTACCAATATAATTTGAGTGATAAAAAAATAAGAAAGAAAAGCAACATGCAAATCATAAACTCAGCAATGGGAGTTCAGACACTTTTGGTTGTATTTCAAGTGATTGAAACAGTTATAACAACTTTAGCTAGTGTGTTAGTGCTACCAGCTATCACAAAAAAAGAAGCAAGCATAATTGTCCATTTCCTGGTAAACTCTCATCAGAAAGACCTGAAGTAACAGAATTCTGCTAATCTTTATTGATTTCATACAATTCCAGCCATAATTCTTCGTAGTCTTGAAAGCGAGATCTGTTTCATGCATTTCCAAAAATAATCATCATCCAAAAGTCCACTCCTGCCTCAGAAAAGCCTTAGTAAGACATGGTGTCTTCAGAGGTGGGCTGTCCAGCAGTAGTTCCTCCATCTCTTCCTTGAATTTTACTGAAAAAATCTAATTTCTCAAGATCCACCCCCTTAATGGGGACAGTGCTTAAAGACATAAAGAGGAAAAGAATCCAATGCAGGTGAACCACTTCATGGAATCAAGTGTTAGAGAACAAGAGTGCATGCCCAAATCAGTAGCAATGGTATTCCTCACTTCAGCATACCAGCGAGGCATTTTTTAGCATGCCATGGTCCTTTGCTGAGGTCTAGCTCACTGTAGAGTGTTTTACTGTAATAGTCATCTCAAATACTGAGTTACCTTGATACCAGCTTATAAATGTCATCTTCTAAGTGCAAGGATCAAAGACAATGGAAAAATCAAAAGCTTATTGTGCTAATTCTGCCAGTTCAATAACTAATTACTCTTCAGCTTCAGAAAAATCATGATTTCTTACATATTGCATGCACAATTTTAGATATAGATCAAACTCCATAAAAAATTTCAGAGCAATTTAGGCTGGAGGCCATCTCGGCAGCTACTAGCTCAGAGCAGGACTATATTCATAGTCCAATCAGGTTGCTCATAGCCTTGCCCTACTGAGTCTTGAAAATACGGAAATTCCATAGCTCCTTTGGGGTTCTCCTTCTGTGTTTATCCACTTTCAATGTGATTTTTTTTTTTTCTGCCTATACAATCAAAGTTTCTCTTTTTGTATTTTATAGCCATTCTCTTATGTCCTTTTCCTTTCCAGCTTTGAAAAAAATGGTCTACTTTCACTTTCTTAATAACTCCCTGCTCAGTGCAGGGTAGGGATTATATCCTCTCTGTGTTCTCTTCTTCAAGATAAAGAAACTGTTCCTTCTGTCTCTGTCATATGCTTCAGTCTCTGGAACCAACTTTGTCACCTTCTTCTGAGTACTCTTTAACTTCTAAGTATCTCTTAAATACTTGGGAGCCCAAATTGGACACAGTATTCCAGATGTGGCCTCACAAATGCCAAGTAAAGGAGAAGAGTAATTTCCCTTCATCTGCTGGCAGTACACTTCTTAATGTAGCATGGTGTGTGGTTGTTCTTCATTACCTTAAAGGTTCAGTGCTGCTGATTCTTGTTCAGTTTTTTCACTGAGACCCACAGGTCCCTTGTTCCAGAGCTGCTACCTCATCAGCCAGTCCAATTGCATGGCTTTTTTTTTTTTGTCCTGGGTGCAAGACTTTGTCCTGTCAGCCCCTTCTCCAGCTTGTTCAAGGTCTTCAGCCCTGTCCTCCAGCACATCAGACACTTTCCCAGTTTCACATCACGCGTGTGCTGAGGGTGAGTTCCAGCTCATTATCCAGATCATTAAGTATATTAAACAGCATAAGCCCTGATATTGTTGCTCCTTGAGGAACACCACCCACAACTAACTGCCAGTGAGATTTCAAACTACTGACTGCAACCCTTTTGACCTTGACAGCCAGACAGCTGTATGCTACTCATACATACCTTGTAGTCTTCCCACCCAGTTACACTTGGATTTGGCTAAAGGGATTCCTTGAGAGCCCATGTGGATACTCTAGCTGAAACAATGGTAAATGATACCTTCTGCTTTTCCCTCATCCACAGAGCCATTCATTTCATCATAAAAAAGAATGACATGGAGTAAGGAAAATTTTCCCTTCTGCCTTCCCCCTCTCCAGTTTTAGAAATTTCAAATAAATTAAGATTGAATACTCTAGTTTGGTGGGAAGGGGAGTTTCTTGGTTTTGGAGGATGGCCAAATAGCAGCTGAACTCTTACTCTTTCTTAAATTCATTTTCATAACTTTTGTGTCCCACTCTTAACAATGGGCAGTGCTGCATGAGCATATAAATCTCAGTAATTTACTGACCTTGTAACTTGTTTGTGAGTAAAGACCTTAATCTGTTTATTGTTGTGTTTAACTCATTTAGTTCATAATGTGCTTCATAATTGGTTAATTAGTGATGTGGGTGAACAGATACATCCAAACTTTGACCAGTCAGGCAGCCAGTCTCGCAAAGTGTCTCTCTTACTGATAAAAGTTGCCAGCACAGATCAGGTAGTTCCACCTGACCTAGCAGAAGATGCCTTCGGGAGGGTGCTTTGCAGAGCAGAGTCCTTTCAGCCAGTCACTAGCTGTTGTGTGTGAGAAGTTTGGATCGAGGTATCAGAGATGCCAGTAAAGCTGACTTCATGCTGCTGCAGTTGCTCATCCAGCACCATAAACTGGAACCAAGATCCAATTTGTTTCATTGTATAAATGAAGAACAAGCAGAGGATGTTGCCTGACTTTGAAAAATGGAATATCCATCATGATAATTGGAATCTATATTTAATATTTACCTAAATATTTATTCAGTAAAACTTACTGAATAAAAATGGTGGGGCAAAACCTGGGAAAATTTTCTTTTTGCCTTCTATAGATAGGAAAAGATTCAATGACAGTAAAAGGGATTTGGAAACCAGAGTTCTTCACAAGAATTATCTTGTTTTCAGTGAACGTGAAAATTCACAGCTAATCCACATGCAGTGTTAGAAGGTGCAGGATGCTCTTCCATGTAACAAAGGTAAAGATGAAAATACTTTTGATCCATTTCATGTGAATTGTAGGCATAGAAATACACTATTAGGGAAGAAGTTTTGGAGTTTAGCTGTTGTTCTCTGGCTGTTGTCAATATAACCAGCAGACTTTGAAACAGCATCTTTATTTATTCATTGCCTTTTAAATGATATGGAACTGGTGAGATGCTTTTAACTGAGACTTCCGTTACCACTTGGTCATCAAATTCTTTTTTAATTGTTTCTCTGTTGTGGTTAATGGATTTGAGAAATCCAAAAATCAGAACAGTTTCTCTTAGTTACTGGATTGTGCTTCCAAAATGTTTAATGAAATATTCTAGCAAGGGTGGTATTTTTTGGTAGAGGATATCGAAGCATTATCTCAAATCATTGTGATAGTACTTTAGTGTCCACTGAGAGGCTTTGTTCTGCCAAAGGGCTGGTAGGAACACCTCCTGAGATGCCTTGCCATCTGTTTATACATCTAAGAGCTGTAAGATTTGATTAGTAAAACACTTCCTCATGCTCTGTGGCCACTGATGCTTTTTCCTCTACTTGGGATGCATCTTGGATGAAGCACCTGGCTTCACAGTAGTTTTTCCTAGGAGAAAATAATTCTAAGTTGAATTGAATGCTGAGCACAGTTCAGTTTTTCAGAGATAAAGGTGAAGTGGCATAAACTCTGGAGGATCTCATGCATAACGTGCAAATCAAGCAATGTCACAAATCAGTCGTAAGGTGTTTTACTGCAAATGCAGATATTCCAGCATTCCCTTATGCATCACTCTCAGTTTGTCTTTCTGATGTGGTGTAGTTTCACCTAATGTTCTCACTGAAAGCATCCCATGATAAACTGTACATTCATAAACCCCAGATTAAACAAATTTTAGACATAGAAGTCTGAAAGCAATTC